AGATATGAGGCAGGTAGGTTGTTGGTTATAGTTATCTAACCATTTTAGAAGTCAGCATGCATTCTCAGTTTCTTCTTACTTATAATCTGTCAGAAGTTCAATTCTCTTATCTAACAGAAAAAGGACATCAGCTCTGGCCAGTTCCTTAAAGGGGCCCACAGTTTCATCCTGGTTTTTAGCTTTGTTTAAATTAAAACAAGAGGATCTAAGTATGTAAAATTGTAAACAAACTGTATAGAAATGTAACAATATGGAGAGACTAATGAGACCATAACAAAGCACAATCACTTCCTCCTCCTGCCTATAAGGAATTTCAGCAAGTGTTCCAAAATCTTTGATTACCAGTTTAAAACAATTGTCAATAGTTGCCAATGTGCTTCCTGACATTCAAAAATGCAAACATGTCACCTCACTCATAATTTTTTACGACTTGGCCCTTGGGTCCACCCCACCTCCACACCAGGATTGCTGAAAAGAAGCATGCCTATAATAACCACAATAGTGGTGGTAATAGTAGTAATGAAAATACTTGATGTTTTAGAAGATAACTGAGAAGGGGAAATATTGGGAATACTGGAATATATTTGAACTTTTCATAGATTTGTTTTAAACTTCTTTCAGTGAGTTGTTTTTACTTAAGTTCCTAAGTGAGATTATTTCATGTATTTTTATCTAGCCATAGCAGTGGAAGATGAGCTAATATATCTGACATTTTCCTCTTTCCATAAGAGATATCTTACATTATATCATTTTATGCTAGTCTGCATTTTGACTATCGGAATGCACTCTGGTACTGTATAGGCAAAGGTAAAGGTTCCCCTTGACATTTAATCCAGTCATGTCCGACTCTAGGGCGCAGTGCTCATCCCCATCTCCCTCTGGTTTAGAGTGCAATATAAATAAATAAATATTATTATTATATTATTAGTATTAATTCAGGGTAACCTATCATGATGAGTAAATAGTTATTTTGCAGCGTACTTATTTGCATCAGTTCCATAACGTGGATCAAATGGTATCTTAATGAACAGTTCTGAAATGCAAACCTGGATTTGCACGCATGTAGAAGTAGAAGTTACCCACAAAATCCACAGGTCTCTGACCACAGCCAATTATGTATGACATTTCAGAGAGCCAGCACTCCAATTATTTTATGGTGTGGGTACACAAAATCAAATTGATAGGTTTTAAAAGGCCATTTCATTCAAGTTCATGAAAACACTTGCTCTTTTAACTAAGGCCTAAATGAGTCCACTTTTTTTTTTTTTTGCTGTGTTTTGACCTTTTGATGGTCATTCTAATTTTAAATGAAGTTTCCAGTAACTTAAAGATAATGTCACTGAAATACAGTCTGATAAAAATAGGTTTATTTCTGGGAGAAAATTTTAAGTGGGAATGGTTTCATCATCTGTTGGTCTCGTCTTTGCACAGAGGCTCCCTCCCACCTTGTAGCATCCCAGATTGCTTTGGAGAAGCAGTGGGCAAGCACCAGAAGACTTGGAAGTAATCTTTACAGCCTCAAGAGCCACACTAGCCAACCTGAATCAAAGCAATAAGGTCTTTTCCAGCTTCTCATATTCTCATTTCATTAACATTTCCCTTCATATTTTGTAACAGTGTTCCACCAAAAGAAAGTTGGAGAGCACATCCTGTTTTAGAAGAGAATTTCATGAAGTAAAGAAGTAGTTCTCCCATAGATCTATAGAAAGAAATCTAGCAACATGACTAATGAAATATCTACTAACACCATAATTTCTAGCCACTTTTCACTTGATCTTCAGTAGATTTTATCTTTATGCTGCAGTCCTGTGTACTCCTCATGGGAGTAAATCCCACTGAATTCAGCATCTTAATAAATGTGTATAGGATTTGCAATGAAGCCCACTTGAAATCAGTAGAATTTAATCTAATTCAGTTCTACAGCATTCAATAATACTTCTGATATATTTATTTTCTGTACTAATTTTGTGAACTTTACCTACTTCTTGTGGCTTGAAACTTGCAGAATTCTCTAACCAGCTAATGTACTGACCTTCTGTTGAGAGGAAGGTTGGGCCAACACAGTAATGCAGGATCATGCCACTTGTGCAGGTACTGCTGCTGTTCAAGCTGAAGGTGGGTTTCTTCATGGCAAAACATGTGCAAATGTCAGAGTCCCACATCATGTCACAAACTGGACTTTTTTTTTCAACAGTAGCTCATTGGAATGCTGGTCATTGAAATGACTACACAACAAAACAGATCAAATCGTGTTGCTGAACATAGTAAAGGTTCTGTTAAAAACTGTTTGCTCTTTATAACCTGCTCACTTTTTAATCAGGAAGCATTAATGGCAGTGCACAAGTGGCCATAGAGCCAAACAAATGGAATTTAGAGGCGCCTCAATGTTTTATAGAAAAATACCACTGTTTTGTGGCAATCACTTGCAGTGACTTCATATATATCATTCAGATTAACACAACAATCTAATGTGATTTAACTTCTTACATCTAATCATGTGTGAAATTTGTAAGCAGCGTTCTCATCTTATTTTGACAAACCCAAACAGCCGGCCATTAAAACTCCAATTTGACTGCTTCTTTTAGTAACATTCCTTGGTGTTTCCATTTGCTCTTTCCATTAAAAACCTTGGGTGTTACATCAAAGGAATTTGCTCATTGGCATTGTACTGTGTGCAGTTTTTTGACTTGATATCGCAGAAAGATCTAATCTTGTTTGTGGGTACCTATCTGTAGGTTACAACCATGTACGTTTCATTTTCAGGGATAGTTTTTATACTGTCAGACTGGAAAGAGGAAATCCTCTGATTTGTCAGTCATCTAAACTCAGCAGCTGCATGTGTGACTGTCATCCCATGCCTTAGACCTGCTGTATGCACTACTGCAATGTGCTTCTGGGCCTATGCACTACTGCAGTGTTCTATTCTGGGCTACTCATTGTTGAAGATAATGTACCCCTTTGACAATTTACCTGAGGGAAGTAGGTTCCAGAGTGTAATGGAGGTAGTTGTGTTACAAGGAGGCCTTTGGCTGCCTTGGAGCCTCAGATGGTGGTGGAGAGCAGCAACTCTGCCTTCACACAGTTGTGCCATGCTTCCTGGGCCAAGCAGATAAGGAGGTGGGGAACTAGTTCAGCACTAATTCTTATTCCTGTATTGTTGCAGTTGAAGTGGCTATTCCCCTTCCTGGTATGTACCATATTTTTCCATGTATAAAATGACACTTTTTCCTAAAATAATTAGAGGAAAATTTGAGGGTCGTTTTATACACAGAATGAGGCAGTCGTGCGCGCACTTGAGTGCCTCTTGCTGCTGCCGCCGCCTCACAGCTTGTCCCCTCTGGTGGCTGAGGCAGCAAGAGGAAGAGGCGGAAACGGAGACAAAAGGGCATTCACATGTGCTTGGGTGCCTCTTGCTGCTGCCTCCCCCGCCTGCCCAATCACCATCTCCAGTGGGACTGACGAGCTCAGCTCACGTCGCCACCTTGTCCCCTCCGGTGGCAGAGGCAGCAGGAGGCAGAGGCAAACAAACACTCTCTTGCACTTGGGTGCCTCTTCCTGCAGCCGCCGCTGGATCACCTCTCCAGCGATAATTTCCTTAGGGCAGGGGACAAGGCGGCGATGTGAGCTGCAGGTGAGCCCCAGCAGTTGCACTGGACAAGATGATCGGGCCGACAGCGGAGATAGCAGCAGCAGTAGGAGACGGAGGTGGAGGAGCAGTTGCCCATTAGCTGCTCCTCCGCCTCCATCAAGGGTCAAAATTAGGGGGTCGTTTTATACATTGGGGGGTTGTGTACATGGAAAATACAGTATGTTCTTGCTTACAATTGGGAATCTGGAACACCTGCTTTTTCACCATCTGGGAGGCTGGGCAGTCCTTTCACAGAGGAGACAATCATCAGTAGGAATAGTTGGGAGATAATATTTCAGTGGATAAGTAATGTGTTCTAATAAGAAAAATCACTTTGTTATTTCTGCTGTTCTTGTGGTTGTGTATGGACAGTAGATGCAAACCAGAATGCGGTAGTCTTTCTCTTGCTAATTCTTGCAACACCCAGCTTATGTTAGGAGTTCAAACATTACTGGAAGAAGATGGATAGATTCATTGCTATACACCAACAAAGCGTACAGTGGTGCCTTGCTTAACGAGCACACCGTATAACGATGAAATCGCATAGCAAAGAGGTATTTGCGATCGCAAATGCGATGGCATACCAATGGCCCCTGTGGGCAAAACTCGCTTTGCAAAGATCGGTAAGCGTTTCGCTTACCGATCTTCGCAAAACGAAGCCCGACGATCAGCTGTTCAGCGGCTCCAAAATGGCCGCTGGAAGCCCCAAAATGGCCGCGCACAGCGTTTTCGCTCCCTGCCCTCGCTTAACTGAGTTTTCGGCCCATTCGTTCGTATGGGCTTTTCTGTCCCGTTCAGCGATGTTTCGCCACTATGCGAGGCACCACTGTATTCTCTATATCCGCTAATAAAGTGTGCTGCTTATATACTACCTCATAAAGTTTGAAGCACTCTCTGATGGGTTGCAATTTAAGTATGCAGGCTACACATTTCTCCTCACCCCATCAAGCTGGGTACTCATTTTACTGATCTCAGAAGGATGGAAAGTTGTGTCAACCCTGAGCTTGCTACCTGAGCCCATCAGGATTGAACTCAGTTCTTGAGCAGTGTCTTGGCTTCGATACTGCACTGTGCCACAAAGCTCATATCTAAATGACAAAAGCTATGGAATATTCAAATTCAATTAATGTGTTTATTTGGGCATAGCTGTCCTGTTTCCTTATTAGTAAAGGAATGACTCCAGTCAAATATAAAATTCTGGACTGGATGGACTGTCACTGGGTTCCATAGTAGTCATTTTTTTCTGTAGTGAAAATTAGAACCTCTTCTTCCTTACTTTTTATGTTACGATGATTTCACTTTCAGTTAAAATAGACATGACACAGAAATACTATAAAATGGAATCCTATACTTTTTCTTTCTATTCTTACAGGAACAAACCTTGGCCTTAAGGAAAGAAGGAATTGGTGTTGTGTTAGATTCTGAGCTGCCTCACCTAATAGGCATTGATGATGATCTTCTGAGCACGGGTATCATCTTGTATCACTTGAAGGTAACTCAATATTTATCTGCCTTCAGAATCCTAAATGGACAATTTTAATTGTGCTCTTAATTTACTGTTCAAATAAGCTAAGCATCCATTATTTCACTGCAAATAGTTGAATGTAAGCTGTGTGATCTGCTAATTTATCACTGTAAAATTATCAGTCAGCTACGATCTATGTCTGTTCTTTTGTTGAGTATATTGGTTTTTAATTCATTTTGCTTATAGCCATGAAATGTGTTTTTGTCCTGCTATGCTAAAAGTAAGTATCAGTGGTAATTTTCAGTCTTAGGTAAAGTATTCTATCATTGTTATTTAGTCGTTAAGTCGTGTCCGACTCTTTGTGACTGCATGGACCAGAGCACATCAGACCCTCCTGTCTTCCACTGATTCCTGGAGTTGGGTCAAATTCATGTTGGTAGCTTCAGTGAAAATGTCCAACCATCTCATCCTCTGACATCCCCTTCTCCTCTTGCCTTCACACTTTCCCAACATCAGGGTCTTTTCCAGGGAGACTTCTCTTCTCATGAGATGGCCAAAGTATTGGAGCCTCAGCTTCAGGATCTGTCTGTCCTTCCAGTGAGCACTCAGGGTTGATTTCCTTCAACCCAGCCCAGAGACCTCTGGGTAGTGTGGGTGGCATATAAATTAAATAAATAAATAAATAAA